GACCTCTCGTTGGGTTGCGTCGTTGTCCATGATGTTTACGTAGTCGTGGTAAAAGTCTGTCATGTTTGTTTATGCGTGTTCGTCGTGTTAGGAGGTCCACTAACGGGGACGTACGTGTTGTTTTGTATCTTTTGGTCTTTTATGTTGATTCTCTGAGTTACAGTTACAAAGGAAGAATTACAACAGTAGAAAATAAAAATAACTATTAAATACAAACGGAACTTTCCCGTTAGGTCTGTTAGATTCGAATTTTGTTAATGATGAAGTTAGGTTATAAATGTTTTAGTTAAGTTCGTAGTTTAGTTTGACTAACTACATTCTATGCAAACTGGCAATGCTGTAGAGTACGTTCCAAAATTTAAAATAATATCTATATTCGCCATTTTATCTATAAGATGAAGTTATCTTTGAATTTCTATCAAAGACTGATAGACTCAAACTTTATTATTAATGACATTAATATCAAATTTTCTAGTTTTAATTCGTAGTTTAGTTGGGTGCATTTAGTTAACTTCACATTACGAAGTTGGCTATAAACTGTCACACATGGATGAAGTTAGCTTTGAATTTCAACGTTATATAAAATCTGATAGATCCGAATTTTGTTATTGATGAAGTTAGGCACAAATGTTCTAGTTAAAGCTCTGTTATTAGGTACAAATGTTTTACTTAAAGTTCGTAGTTTTGTTTGACTAACTTGTCAGTAACACATTTTCTAGTTTTAATTCTTAGGATGGATGCTTAGAGCATATACTACTGGAGAGAGAGGTATATGAGAGTATCTTTCTCTAGCAGCACGCGATTGCATGCTGCTAGAGATATATAGCATATACACTCCTCTCTCTCTAAACCTCCGCTACACTATCGGCCACTGGGACGCTGCCTCCAGTAGTATATGCTCTAAGATTGTGTCTGGGTGACCACCCCAACGACACCCCCCCCCCCTGCCCGCTAACCTTTTCTGTTTCAGATACAGCCAGGATCAAAAAACGACGACAACGACACACACAAATATACACACACCCCATACCCTCCTTACCCCTCCACTCCTGCGCTAGCCTATGGGCCACCTTAGCAAAGCGCATCCCAGGCTGCATAGCCGCACTACCCTACCCAACCATACCACACATAAAAACATGACACCACCCCCGGGGTTTACACAGACGAGCCGGCAAAGCAAGAAGAGCGCCAGAAGAAAGGGCCCTAGCCGGCGGGGCCCAGCCAGGATAAAAGGAGGTCCCACAAAGCGCCTACACCGGCCGCATTTGCGGTCGGGGTAGACGACGGATGGGGCCCACCTACGAAGGCTGTCCAGGCCTACACGAGATGAGGCAGGATAAAGAGGGATCATCCCCCTCGATCCCAAATCATTGAGACCAATTTCTAGCCATGGAATAATGGCGCGTGGCACTCTAAGATTGGATGTATTTGGCTAACTGCATGTTATGAAGTTGGCTATAAACTGTCAGCACCACCGAGTGCGTTCCAAAAATTCGTCGTTTTAGCTACAGGATGAAGTTACCTTATAATTTCAAAGATATGTAAAGTCTGTTAGATTCAAAATTTGTTATTGATGAAGTTAGGTACAATTGTTTTACTTAAATTTCGTAGTTTAGTGTGATTAATTTCATTCTATGTAAATTGGTAATGCAGTACTCTACGTTCCAAAATTTAAAAGAATATTTATATTCGCATTTTATCTATAAGTTACCTTTGAATTTATAACATCAAATACTGACTCAAATTTAATTATTAATGAAGTTAGTTACAATTTTCTAGTTTTAATTCGTAGTTTAGTCGGATGCATTTATCTAACTTCATGTTAGATAAATCTCTCTCTAAACCCGCGCTACTGCAAACTGCATGTTATGAAGTTGGCTGTAAACTGTCAGCACCATGGAGTGCGTTCCAAAAATCCATCATTCTAACTACAGGATGAAATTAGCTTTGAATTTCAAAGATATGTAAAATCTATTAGATTAGACATTATCCTTATCCCAAAACCCATCAAAGATCACACCATCCCATCCAACTACCGGCCCATTAGCCTGTTCCCGGCTATGAGCAAAGTGGTAGAAAAAATTATCCTAACCCGTCTAAGAACCCACTCCCAAGAACTGCAAGTCATTCCAGACGAGCAGTTCGCCTTCCGACCCAATCACTCCACTGAACTCCAAATCCTTCGCCTTACCGAGCACATCACGGCGGCCTTCAACAGGGGACAGTACACTGGTGCTGTCTTCCTGGACGTCGCAAAGGCCNAAATAACTGATAAATAAGTAAAAACTTACCTGGGCATAACCCCGGCACAGGTGCTGTAACAAAGATGCCGACGGCGTCTATGCTTAAGCCGGGGATTAGGTCGGTGATTAAAAGGAAAGAAAGGGATTCTTTCCAGGTAGCCTTAATAAAGGCAGGTAGAATTTGCTCCTTGCACTACACTTTCACAAAACACGTGTGCTCTGGTCGGCTGCCCGCTAGGAACTGAGTATACAACTAAAACAGCTGATTTAAGTTGAAGCCAACGCGCATGTACCAAGTGCCGCCTGAATTTTATTCTGGTCAAAACCTTGGCATGTGACAGTGGCCACATCAATCATTACTAACGTCAATCGTCACTCGTCATCACCGAATAACGCAAACGCGCTGCTCGAGCGAAACCTGGTGCAACAGGTGGAAAGTCAAAATTAATCCCAACAAAAGTTCGGCTATTCTTTTTACCAAACGAAAAATCCCACAAAACCTCGACAGACTGACACTATCTCAGGAACCCATCTCCTGGAATAGACAAACACGATACCTGGGCGTGACGATGGACCAGCGTCTCACGTGGAAACCGCACATCGTGGAGACGGTGGCGCAAGCGAAGACCACCAGGGCTAGGCTCTATCCCTTACTCAAAGTTGGAAACACCTTCAGTTTAAGGAATAAGCGAACGCTTATCAAGGTGGTACTTCGACCGCAGCTAACCTACGCCTCCACGGCGTGGGGTCACGCGGCAAAAAGCCACTTAAAGTCATTACAGGCTGTGGAAAACATAGCCCTCCGCACGGCCACCGACGCGCCCTGGTACGTAAGAAACACTGACATATTACGAGACTTACAATACACAAACGCTACACAGACAATAAGACAAAACGCGGAGAAACGATTTGACGTAGCCGCTAGACATGACAATCCCCTCCTCAGGCAAGCCGTTGACTACGTACCCGACGTGACCGACAAACACAAAAGACCTAGACACCAACTTTTTGACCCTGGGTGACCACCCCAATGACCCCCCCCCTGCCCGCTAACCTTTTCTGTTTCAGAGACAGCCAGGATCAAGAAACGAAGACAACGACACACACACACACACATACACACCCCCCATACCCTCCTTACCCCTCCCCTCCCGCGCTAGCCTAAGGGCCACCTTAGCAAAGCGCATCCCAGGCTGCATAGCCGCACTACCCTACCCAACCATACCACACATAAACATGACACTACCCCCGGGGTTTACACAGACGAGCCGGCGAAGCAAGAAGACCGCCAGAAGAAAGGGCCCTAGCCGGCGGGGCCCAGCCAGGACAAAAGGAGGTCCCACAAAGCGCCTACACCAGATGCATTTGCGGTCGGGATAGACGACGGATGGGACCCACCTACGAAAGCTGTCCAGGCCTACACGAGATGAAGCAGAATAAAGAGGGATAATTCCGCTCGATCCCAAATCATTGAGGCCAATTTCTAGCCATGGAATACGCCATTTAAAACCAAAATAAAGCTATTATAAACTCAATCACTTTATATATGAACTCAATGGTCATTCTACAATTTTGCTACCAACACCCTTGGATTTTATTATTAAAATCCTTGACCAACACTAGTGATGGGAATAATCGAATGAATTTAATAATCGAGAGGTTACCGTTCGAATTAATTTTATAATCGATTGATCATTCGAATGATATATAATCGAAAGTCCACTTCGAAAATTTCCGACCTATCCCAAATTATATGTGAAAAAACCCCGGGGGTGGTGTCATGTTTATGGTTGGGTAGAGTGTGTGTGGTTGTCTTCGTTTCTTGATCCTGGTGGTCTCTGAAACAGCAAAGGTTAGCAGTAAGGGGGGGGATGTCGTTGGGGTGGTCACCCAGGAATGGCGCGCGCGATTGTTGGAAAAAATAAACTGCGCTGGCCAAGTACAATTCTTGAAACTTTATGGTTCAATATGCTATTTAGGTTATAGTAATAACCACAGCGTCAGTGGTCAGTAAGGGTTTTTTGGCGAGCCAAACCACATCAAACCCGGTTAGCTCGAGTTTGATTGTGTTAAGAGTTTGAGTTAACATTTGACAGAACTCGCAAAAATTCTTTTGGTTTGGATATCTAATCAATAATAAAATCGTAACCTATAATCTATGATAGTGCTCATAGCTCAAGTTGTTTGATTATTTCTTATATACTATAATTGTTATTCCTAATCTGAAATGCACATCCATGAAATAACGTTAATGTATAGATGGTTATTAAATCAAAATGGGTTTACCTTTTCACAAATATCTATTCCCACGTAAATGTATCGTCAAAAAGGAAGTTAATAAAGATCTATACAGTACAATATAGAATATGCATATCTACATTTAAAGTTATTTGGATCCTCGATTACTATTTTTTTATTATCAATTTTAAATATTTACTTTGTATTTTTTGCAAAGTTAATTCATTATCAATTTTTTTTATTTACAACTTATACCTATCCAAACCTCTAAAAAAACGAAGTAGTGACTAGGTACGATGGTACGAAACAGAAAATAAATAAACAAAGATAGAAATATTAACTTAATATCCAAACCAACCCACAAGTCCGGTTTGATGGTTAGGCAAACTCTGCCAAACCGGGTTAACTACATTTCTCGCCAAAACGTCAAACCTCAACAAACTATAGTTAACCGGGTTAGCGGTTTTCTCGCCAAAAAACCCTTAGTGTTTCTGGTAACGCGTAATGTAGTGTTTGGTGTTTGTCGTCTTTCTTTTGCTTTACTGTGTGTGGGAAAGTGAAATGTTGAGGATTTTAAAGATTTTGTAAACCGTCGTTGTTTTTTAATAGATAAAAAATAACATACAGAAATTATATCTAATCAACATAAAGAATAAAATGGAAACAACAGAAGTAATTATTGCAAGACTTGTATTAGGTAAGTCATTTTTGGCGGGATAACTAAATTTTGTTTATATATATTTATTTTTTAGGGTATTTAAAGGAAGAAAAATGCAGAATTGCTTATAAGGAATTTCTTAAAACATCAAAATACTTACAAGGTGATTCAGTAACCAAGGCTAAATATTTACCAACGAGATTTGTTGGCTTAACATTAAGTAATATATTATGTGAATATTTTGAACTCTCTAAAATTGGTTAGTATATTGAAAAACCCATATATGTATAATAAGTAAACTGACAAACTTGGTTTAAATAACCATAAACATATCATGTTCTTTTCATTGTTCATTGCTTGTCGACTCAAAAAGTGAGCGCCTAAAAATAATTGTTTTGAAAATAACATTAACATATTTTCAAGACTATCAACTTTATGTACAATGAAAGGAAAATGGTAAATAGTATGTTACTGCTATTAAATATTTTGTCTAATAGAATATTAGAAAAAAAAAAACGTAATTATTATTTTATTTCAGTACAAGGTAGATTAGAAGCCACGAATTATTATAATGAACGTCACACAAGATCTTCTCTAATAGAGCAGTTGTTATATTTATTGAATAAAAATCAATCAAGTCGAACATCAACCCCTTGTCCGAGGTAGGATTGTTATAACTAAAATTCATATATTTTTTTTATAACCGCTCTTCATAGGTCACCCTTGGAATCCAATTTAGACGAAACGAGTCCATCTCACATCGATCATGTCAGTGATGTTGAAACCACCCCAGCACATACTTTGCCAGGTAATATACGAGGTACCAGTGAAGACTCGTATCTGTATAAAACTCCCAAAAGAAAATCAAATTCAAAGTTGAATAAATCTGCAACAGTGGCTAATTTACAAACGACTAATAAGGAAGATATGTCAGAGGTAATAATTGTTATATAAGTACATGAAATAATATGTGAAGTTTATATATTTCAGGTTATGGCAAACACACTCCTAGAAAATAAAGAATTTCATGAAAAAATAGCTAAAACTATTAATAAAGTTGCAGAAAAACAGTACAGAGTATCGTCTGAGCTAGATCAAACTATTAAAACTGTTGTGAAAGAAACAGAGGCTGACCCAATGTTTGATAAAATTCTTGAAGAAATAATTGGTTTGAACCATTAATAACATTTTAACAGAATGCAATAACTGTTTTTATTTCAGGGTCTACTTCAGCTATCGAAAACTGCAGCAGTAGTACTAGCAGGTAACAGCTCACTAAATAAAGAAATTAAAATTTCAGAGATGATGGTAATCTTCTAAAAATTCATTTGAAAAGAATTTAAAGAGTTTGTTATGAATATGATAGAATTTTTTTGGATTACTTTTTCTAAGAATAGATAATTTTATTATGAAGATTATAAATTAAAGTCTAATACAATTTATTAAAAATTAACTCCTAAAAAACTTAGTTACCAAATATGCGCCTTTAGGTCTATTACAAAAAAATAAAAAAGGTTTAAACTTTATCTATACCAGTAGAATATCTACCAGATGTAAATTTCAAAGTATTTTATTAGTATCGAATTATTTTATTCTTTTCCTGTAGTGCCGCTAAAGATTCTAGAGACGACTTGACAAATAAGTTGAAAAGGTCTCAGAAACGTTTAAATTCGGAACAATCTGAAGAGGATGTCGATCAGATGATAAGGACACATTGCAATCCTGTAACAGTTGAGCAACAAAATGACGAAGCTATTCGTTCCATCGTTGCTAATTCAAATTTGAAACCTAATTCAGTAGGAAGTACTCAAGAAATGCATGTGAATAATGAGGTTACAGTTTTTAATGGGTCTTTAGATAAATATTTGACATCCAACACCTGTAATGCGAACACTCAAACTCAACCCTTGCAAAATCCGTTGTATATAAATACTGGTGGTTTACTTATGGTACCTTCTGGCATTACATCAAATGGAAATATGCAAATTGAATCAACAAAACAGTACTATCTTGTGAACAAGCAGTCTACTGTAAATTGGAGTATTCCACCTATTCAGACGACAAATATTATAACTGAACAAGATATCTTAGCTATGCCAACTGTCATCGTGAGTGACGAAGGACATAATAAAATAACTACCTCCGAGCCAGCCTTACAAAGTAAAGTAGTTACAATTTAGGCTAAGGTCCCAATTATGCGGTGTGCGATCTGAATCTGAAACCTACAACATTGAATGCCGATTCGAGGTTATTTCAGTGCATAACCTGTTTTACAAACTAGTGTAGCGTCTGTCGAATTCATTGCTTTTTAAACAAAATGTTGTTTTATACACATGTTCTATACCTAAAGATAGCAATGTTTACTACACATAATAGGTACTAGTACTCTTTACAATAATAATAATATAAATAAAATAAAGTTCCAAAACCACTGCATCACTGTCTTTTGCAGTTACGCAGGCATGTTTCTTCATAAATGTATCTTGGAATTCTGTCTCAACAAATATGGTACGGACTGAACATTTCTAATGGAAAAATTAGAACATAATACAGATAGCCTCAAAAAGTATTTATTTGTACTCTGAGTGCATATACTTCGGGTTCCTACTTGCTAGTATTTAATGCGCACATTTTAATTCAGGCACTAAATCAACTGGTATATGTAAATGCACTTAATGCATGATTCGGACCTTAGCTTTAGATATACACTTCCAAATTATGCACTGTTTAAAATTATCCCCAGTTTTGAGGTTGACATTCTCGCAGATAGCTAATCTGATTTTATTACCCTTTTTTTAAATTATAGTCTTACTTCATTTAATAATGATATTAAGGTAGAAGTCTTACTGAAATTTTAATTTATACAGTACTCAAGGTGCAAGAGAGGATAAACTTGAAATTGAGTCATCCTATGTGATGCACCGACTACAATAACGAATCAAACTGTAGTTTCGTTTTTCCTGAATAACTTGTTTTCTACTTCTGTTATTAATTGAAATACAATTAAAGCAAACCAGTTTATTGTTAAAATGTACATAACATAGCAATAAAAAAAGTCTGTGATGATTGTCAAAGTGCTCATGTAGTACAAAAGCACTTACATGAATTAAATATGGCCTGCATGTAGTCTAGATTTCAATTCCATAGAGAAACAACTTAGAAATCAACTACCTGCATCCCTTAATGTCAAAACATGCCCAGAGAAATATGAAATGACATCGACCAAGAAAAGATATGTCTGATGAAAATAGGTGATTTTTTTTTATTATCATTAATATGTTGATGTTTTTATCATTACCATATGCTATCACTTATGTCCCATTTTTAAAATGTTTCTAATAACCAGTTTAATATTTATTTCTAATAAGCAGTTTAATTTAATTCTGTATTTCAGATAATAACAGAAATTGAAAATTAGTATAGAAAATATATAATTAGTTTCATTCAAGTTCATTCATTCACTGTTGTAGCTGGCATACTCTACAGTGTTTAAAATTTCATAGAAAAAAAAAAACATATTGCAGCCTGCACTTTAGCATGGTTACTACATCAAAAATTGGGGCCAATTTTTATTGATATGTTAATTTTGTTATTATATATTTTCTTTTTGTTTTAGCTTCTATTTTAACAACTAATTCAAAGTTAACAAAAATTATGCCCAAACCCACAATAGAAATAGCAACTGAATATTTAAATGATTTCAGTGGAAATGATATTCCGCAGCAGAGTGGTTTGAAAAATGTTGTTTACCCTAAGGCAACAAAAAAGGCAAAAACTAAGGAGAAAACTGTAAGCACGACCTCTAGTCAAACCACAGTTGATACACATGCCATGGATATTCCGAGAGCAAAGAAGTCACTCCCTGATGAGTTGCATGAACAAGATGAAGGCGATAAAACTACTGAGAGTTTACAAACAAATGCAAAAACTAACAGTGGACATTTAACCCCTCCACCTTTAGCAGAACATATTCAGAAGACACCAAAAAGCGGGTCACACGTTAGAAATTTGGATTTTTCAACACCTCCAAAAATAACTTCATCACCTAAACAATCTTTTCCGAGTAAAGATGAGAATAACATTTGCGTTCAGAAAATACAAACAACTAAAACTTCGTTTAATTCACAGAATGATAGCGACAAAACTTTGCAAGTCAAAGAACAAAAAACTTGGGATTCAGATTTACGAGCTGCTATAATACTACCTGAAGAAGAAGAAAAGGTTGTATGTAACAAATTGAAGAAAAAAAAGAAAACGCCAGTTAAAAAAGTTAAAAAAAAAGTTAAAAAGATCAAATCGGCGAAGAAAAATTTAAACACTACAGAGCAGAATGCAGCTCTTATAGAAGCTGCTCTTCAAACACCAGTTAAGACTGAAAATAGAAAAGATACAAATTCAGAACCACTAAATAGTGATGGCAAAATAGAAAATCAAGTTAATATAAACAGTGAAGAAACTGTTATTAATTCCAAAAGTGATAAGGTATTAAAACATGATGACAATTCAAGAAAATTAGAAAGTCAAGCCAAAGATTCTAATGAGTGCAATACAAACAAAACAGTCCTTTCTCCGTCAAAACTAAATGCTAGTAAACGTAAACTGATAAAATCAGATGTTACTGATAACACCACCAATGATTTAGTTAAGCCAGTGGACGAAACAAATAAATTTATAACTCCAGAAATGGTTAAGGAAAATTTTCATTACCCAATTAAAGCCAATAGAAATATAACTGCCTTGTTTGAAACTCCTCTGAAAAATGAATTCCTACCTAAAACTCCAGGGAGCCCTAATGCTAGCTTAAATACACCTTTCACTAAAATGCTCGAAGCAAATTTAAAAGGTATTGATATATCTTGCTTACCAACGCCAAATATTCCAGTTACTCCAAATTTTCCTCCCTTCACACCTAACGTTGAGGCATCCTCCCCTTACTCAAGGCGCACAGATTATTCCACGTCAAGTTCATATTACCACCCATCGGATAGCGAACCAAATCGTTCCTTGGAAGCTAATGTCATTGAACTAGAAAAACAGGTGGTAACATCCTCTAGTGACGTGACGAAAAATGTTGACAAAGATGAGACAGAAAATCGAGAACCAAAAAATGACCTCATTAAACCTGGAATGAATCCAGTAGATCAACGTTTAAAAATGTTTAATAATACTGTTATTGGAAAAAAAAATTTAAGTTTAGTAAAGCCGAGTATTGAGTCTAGTTCTAGTTCAAGTGATTCATCTTCCGAAAGCTCCAGTGAAGAAGATTGGGTAGATAAAAGTGATGAAACCATTATTTATAATAAAAAAGCAGCAGAAACACCAAAGAGAACATATTCTCTACGAAACAGAACTATTAACAAGAAACAGGATGTTACAAAAACATCAGAAATTAAAGAACCGAATATTAGACAGGCAAATAGATGTATAAAAACCAGTGTGAGATCGGTTGTTACAAATGCAGCACAAAAACGGGAGGAATCTCAGATTTGTCTTAAAAGTGAAATTCCTACTGATACACAACTTAACTGCGAAGATAATAAAATGGCTGTCAAGGAGAAAGAAAATAAACCATTAATTAAAAATAATTTGATTCGACAAACTTTAAGGAAAGAATTAAATGAAAAATTGACTAGAACTATGACCAAAATAAAAAATGTGGAAAAACCTGTAAAGAAAAATTCCAGAAAGCCTGTGAAAAACACAAAATCAAAATTTATGAAAATAAAATTTGTTTCAAGGAAAAAAAAACTGGAGAAGTCAGATGAGAATCTAAAAAGAATTATTGACGAGGGAATTAAGAATATAGACGATGATTTAGGTGTTACAGACTCGAATAGTCATACTTTACAACATAAGTGTAAAAGAAAGGGGGGTGGAGATAAAGATAGTCCAACTAAAAAAATAGAAAAAATTGACAAATCTACCTTAGATATAGAAGCACAAAAGTTAATTGAAGGTTTAAAAGAAAGAGGTATTCACTTAATGAAAAACAAATCGTCTCCAAACAAAAAAACTAATGGAACTTCTAACTTTTCAGAACTTGATAAAACCCGTAATAACGATGGTGGCACTTCAAAAGATGTTACTGAAAACAATTGCACCGTGGAAAATTCACGTGAAAGGAGTACTTTAGAACTTGAAACTGATTGTAGAGAGACATATGATACAGTGGTATTCGAGGATTATGAATGTATAGTATTCAGTGAATCAAAAGGGATAACAAAAACATTTGAGAACTATGATACAAAAGTATTAGAAAAGAAATTTATTGGAAAGGTATCTATTGAAGAAACAGAAAATGAAATTGAAATTCCACTTGAAGTTACACCATTCTACACTTTGCTAGATATTTCATCATCTAGAAACCAACCCCAAAAACAAAAAGGGACAAATCAAAAAACTAAAGATAGAAATAAAAAGACAGAAGAGAAAGTAATCAATAAAGATACTACAATAAAGACTGATACAAACAAGATTAGTACGTGTGTACCACCAAATCTTATTTCTGGAAGTGATCATATAAATCATGTGATTCTGGGGAGTTCAGGGGAAGATAGAGATGGATTGGAAGCACCATGGTAAGTTAAGCATTATTTTGTAGGAACGAGTAACATAGAGAAAGCATAAAAATTTAGGGATAATTTAAAATAAATTTTGTTACGTTTGAAATAGCATCTGCTACGTGCTATTCTGTATCTTGTATGTAAAAATATTGTTAAAACATTGTTATTTATGAAAATCATCACTGACCTTCTATTTTCATAAACAAACAATGAAACAAAAAGTTTGGGAGGAATTATATACGAGGTTTGATAAAAAAAGTAACGGGAATTGTTAATTTTCTCAGAAAGTTTAATCTTCAATTTTTATCCCATCCCTTTCAAAGTAGTCCCCCTGTCATATACACTTATGCCAACGTAGTTTTCAGTTTGGAAACACTGGTGGAACGCCTCTTTAGGTATCGCCTTGAACTCATTTGCAATTTTACCTTTATCTCATTTATTGTTATAAAATATTGTCCTTTGAGTATCCTTTTGAGATTGCGAAATAGAAAAAAGTCACATGGGACAATGTCCAGAGAATAGGGTGGTTGCAGCATCACAAACGGTGTTATCTTTTGTCAAGAACTGTTGGATGAACAAAGTGGTACGTGCCGGTGAGTTGTGGTGCAAAATCCATGAGTTGTCTTTCCAGAGTTTGGGTTGTTTTCTCTCGATTGCTTCATGCAAATTGCACAAAACTTGTAAACTGTACAACTGGGCAATAATTGTCGCCGTGATGAACTATTCCATTGTATTCGAAGAAAACGCTTAGAAGTATCTTCGTATTTGACCAGACTTGACATACTTTTTTCGGTCTTGGCTCTTCAGAAAACTTCCAGTGAAATGATTGAGCCTTCATTTTGACACCGTAGTCATCCAGGCTTTGTCACCAATTATTTGAGCAAGTCTCGATCAGTAAGGATTTGTTCAAAGATGGTTATGCAATGCTATTTTTGTTGAAAATTCAGTAGTTTCGGAACAAATTTTGTTGCCACTGGTTTCATGTTCAGAACATTCATAAAAAAAATTTGTACCATTCATAAACTTATGGCTGTGATATTAGTATTGTCTTTAATATTTTGGACGCTTCGTTGTATTAATTCTGTTTTTAACACAATAGTTCAGAGAAACTCTGATCCGATATTTCGCCATACAAAAAAATTGCTAAAAACACTGAAGTAATTCTTAATCATTCGCTCGTTAAACACAAACTAAGCATGGCAGCTGCTTAAAAATTGACAGTTACGTCACGGACAGTACTGCCAATACACAAAAAAAGAATCAACTCGATAGACAAGATACAGCACACGCAGTTTGATAATATTCCTTACTTTTTGATCAAACCTCGTGTAATAGATTTGTAAAATATTTTAACAAATACCTGGAACTGGAACAATTGAAATGTCATTAATACATTATAAATTTAATTAATGCATATTTTTTTCTAAATGCAACAGGCACCTCTATATCTTACTGTACTTTTCACTTTTCAAATGTATTAGCTTTAACATTGAAAGAAAACTGAAAAATCGGAGGCAAAAAATTGTATAAAAAATAGATGTTAGATAATTTAAGGAGGTTTATCGGGTACGGGGTACGTCTAAAGTCTAACGAGAGTTTCTGTACTAAAGTAGTAAGCCTTTAGATTTGGCAACGTTGCACTTGGCTGACGCGCTCAGCTTGGCATTCACTCGCTCGCGCTCAATCATTCTGTTTGTTTGGATGCCTAAGTTTGAAATATACATCGTATATCACACCTGCGAATTTCAAGTAATAAGCTACGTCGAGAACCGCGGAGTTGCCGCTATCACACATATGGAGGTTAAGTTAGTCAATGACAACAGTTTGAAGGAAAATTATTATAAATTATGTATCTTACAAGTACCTAATCGATTTCTACGAGCTGTCATACTGTTCCTTAGATATCGGTTTCCCATTTATACAAGTTGCTGTGGAATCTGTTCGTCAATTCTTGCGCATTCTAAGTGGAAAGATAAAAAAAATCTGCATTCTCATGACTTCGTACTAAATCGTGAAAAATTATTTTATTAATATCTCGTCTCTTAGGTATCCAAACTAGTAATAATTTTTTTTTGAGGATTTTCTTCAGATTAAATTTTTTTGTGAATATTTGTTTGTCAGTTCCAAATCAGATAAACCTCCTTTAACATATATCAATGTCTTGTAAAAGTGTCAACATTTACTCTTTTAAACTTTTCAAGTTATGTATTATTACGTCTAAAAATGTCCGTTTCTTTAGACAAAGCATTTATTGTAAAGCCAAGAGTTTAATATAAAAAAATAATTTACGGCGTAATTGTGATGAGTTATAAACATGATCATTTTTGCAATTAGGATTCACTATTTAAAATAGATGTATCTGAAAATAACTAAAAGATTCCAATATTTAACAAATTAAATTTTGTGTTAAGAAAAAATGGAAACTATTTTAGCGAATAAGTGATGAATGGGAAATGGACCTCTGATGCCATAATCAACAGGGAGTATAGAAATGTCCATTAAGGTGGAATTTCAATTCTTAATGTTTAGTACAAAGTTTAAATTTTAAATTTATGTACATCAGCATAGGCTAGAATGCAATTTTCTTTAGAAAATAAAAAAGTTCTGTTTTATCGCATCAAGGCATTACATTGTCTTTGGTTACTGTTTTGTGGCTATATATTTATAGTTGGTTCATTTTTTAATTTTTATGTAAATAATTACTGCTGTATAGCAGTTATTTTATTGTTCAGGCCATTTTAATTGCAGTGTTAATAGTAAAAAAAATATCACTTTCCACAATTTTATTTAAGGTTTATTGGATACGGAGGTACGTCTAAAAGTCTTACGAGAGTTTCTGTACATTCACTAGTGACTAAAGTAGTAAGCCTTTAGATTTGGCAGTGTTGCACTTGGCTGGCTTTGGATGCCTAAGCTTGAATTTACACCATATGTCACACCTGCGAATTTCAAATAATACGCTAGTCGAGAACCGCAGCATTGCCGCTATCACGCATATGGACGTTAAGTTAATCAACAACAGCAGTTTGAAGGAGAATTATTATAAATTATGTATCTTACAAGTACCTAATCGATTTCTACGAGCTGTCATACGGTTCCTTAGATATCGGTTTCCTATTTATACAAGTTGCTGTAAAAATTGTTTGTCAATTGCTGCGCATTCTAAGTGGAAAGACCAAAAAAATCTGCATTCTCATAAGACTACTAAATTGTGAAAAATTATTTTATTAATATCTCGTCTCATAGGTATCCAAACTAGTCATAATTTTTTTTGAGGACTCTTCATATTAATAAGCTTATATTAATTTTTTTATGAATATTTGTTTGTCAATTCCAAATCAGATAAACCTCCTTTAAATCATTTAAAAAAATGGTGAAATGTATTTTAATATAAACATAAGTAATTAAAAATACTGTAACTTAATCAATCAATCAATCAGTCAATCAAATTACACATAGTCAAATTCGTCGCCTTGTTTTTGATGGCCCTGGTCCGCCACTTTAGTTTTTCTCTTCAATAGGTATGTCTTCGACTATTGGTGGGTCGCCGTCTTCGTCCCCTATAGGTAGGTACTCCAGTATTGGTGGATCGCCAGGATTGTCTTGAGGCTCGTCATCGTCGTTCTCTTCAATGATGATAAGGGCATCCTGAGGATGGCGCCCAAAAGAGTACCAAATTTGCAGAACAATCCGACGGTATTCTGCAGCATCAGCGGAAATTGTGTTTGACGCATCGACCATCATCACAGTCCCCCAAGAGAAGATGCTCTCGAATGACAAAAACACGGTTCGTCTCATTGAGCTTCTCTCTTCTGCTTTTGCTCTCGAGGGGATTGAGACCAAAATATCAAAAGAAGACGCAGACCGCGATATCGTCGTGACTGCTCTGCAAAAAGTACTTCCAATGACCACGTCATCATCTTTGGAGTGGATGTGGATTTGCTCATGCTGCTCTGCGGTCTAGGATTCACTAAAACAAATGTATACTTCCAGAAGGGTGGCAGAGGTGAGGCGGGTTGCGTTCAATTCTTCACCAGCTCATTCAACCAAGGGGAAGTGGAGCTACCACCTGGATTTGAACTTTTCATCCACGAATTTACTGGGTGCGACACCACCTCTGCCCTCTTCTGGCAGGGGAAGATGAAAATGTGGGGCCACTTCGGACAAAATCAAGCCCCAGTGGACCAAGCAAGAGTTTTCCTCCAGACAGATGCCACAGACCAACAAGTCGCAGCAGCCGGTGACAAGTGCCTAGTTGCCCTATATGGAGGAGACGAAACGAAAGACACCCTCAACGATGTACGCTTTTGTACTTTTGTGAAGACAGCAGCCAACGCCAAAGCGAATCTGGCCCGATTGCCCTCAACCACAGAGGCTGCGTCGTATCACCACTACCGCACATACCACCAGGTGCAAAAGTGGTTGGGGGTGGAGAAAGAGGCCACCGACTGGGGTTGGGAATTGACCTCGGTTGGACTCATCCCCATTACTAGTCAGCAAGCTCCTGCCCCCGCAGAGCTCCTAAAACTCCTCTCTTGCAAATGCAAGAAGGGGTGCAGAGGTGGCTGCACTTGCCTCAAAGCAGGGCTCAGATGTTCTGTGATATGTGTTACCTGCTCTGGGTAAACGTGCCAGAACGCTGCCCTTATCATCATTGAAGAGGACGACGATGACGAGCCTCAAGACAACCCTGACGATCCACCAATACTGGAGTACCTAACTATCCGCGATAATTTTTAAGATGCAAGCACACCAAGCAGCGAAAGCAGTAAGCTCCGAGACAAGGTAATTTTGACATTGCCATTCGTGTTTACACATTCATTTGAACAATATTTGTCTTATTTGCCATTATTATTAGTAATTTTGTTATCAAACTGCGGTTATTTGACTTTTGTGTTATTTTATAGGTTTCAAATATTTCATAAATAAATTTTAAGGCAAATATTTATGTCTACTTTATTTGTCTCTAGCATTACAATTTAATGTACAGGGTGGTTGATTTTCGATAGTTTTATAGGGTACAGCCAAAACGGTGATAGATACAAAAAATCTGATATCGATGTCCCGTCCTCTTTTTTTGAATTTACTTCGCTGGTACCAAAAGGTCTTGGCTAACTTGATTAGTTTTAGATATACAGGTTTTTTTTTGAAAAATGGCCCATTTACATTAACCTCTCCGTCTCCCTTGTCATTCAATTTCGAAGAAAAAAGTGTGCACATTATTTGTTCTATTTTTTGTTAGGAAGCCAGTGGCGTACTCAGATTTTTTAAAAATCACACAGTTTTTCCGATATTACATAAACATAGGTTTTTTAAAATAGAACACCCTGTATTAGGCCATCCCGTTGAATAACATTTTTTTACCTTTTCACCCATATATAATAATAGATACTTTTATTTGCCTAAATGAAGAAAAATGCAAAAATGTATAGATATTTTTTCAGTTGGCCATGTCATTTATTTATTCGTCTTTTGTTGTTTAATATTGGCAGTTAGTTTATTTTTGACTGATTGAAAGCTTGTTAAACGTCTATTATTTGGTTTCAATTTTGAAAGGTATAAAAATGGTGTACGAAAATCTTTACAAAGTTCAAATGTTAGAGTGCTACATTGAAAGTGAAAAAAATAGTGACACAGTTTTAAACTTATATTTGGAGATACCTAGAGCGTCATCAGCCAGAAAAGATAATTTTTAGCCGACTCTATGATAACTTGTGTGAGTTTGGTTCTTTTCAAAAACCGCGAGCTAAATCTTATAATATACAGAATAGAGAAAATGATGAAATCAATACTTTAGCTTTTCTTGTCGCAAATCCCAATGTATCCAGCAGAGAAATTCAAAGGACGATAGGAATTGGTAAATTCAAAGCATTGAGAATTTTAAAAAAACACAAGTTTGATCATATACTATAAGAAAAGTCGACCATTTGCATCCAGGAGATGAAGAGAGATGTGTCATTTTCTGTTAATGGTTTTTGCAGCAAACTCAAGTAGACCTCAATTTTTTTTAAAATGTTATTTGGACCGACGAGGCTTTTATAAGCAGCCAAGGTGTATTCAACCGGCATAATACGCGTTATTGGTCAGATGTGAATCCTCACCAAACTGTGGCCAGAATTCAGCAAGGGCAGTTTGGTTTTCATGCATGGATAGCTCTCTTCCACAATAGAGTATTAACTTACGAAATGTACGATGAAAACCTTAGCGCTCAGAGATATGTGAGAATTTTACAAGAAAATATTATTGAACTGCTGGACGATATGCCACTAGCTCAACGATATCACATGTTCTTTCAGCATGATGGTGCGCCTCCACATAACTCCCACATAGTTAGAGAATTATTAAATCATAATTTCGGGGACAATTGGATCGGTACGTACGGAGCAAATAGGTGGCTGCCTAGGTCACCAGACCTAACCCCTATAGACTTTTATTTTTGGGGGGATCTTAAAGACAGAATTTACAAGTATAGAGCTAATAATGTCGAGGAGCTAAGGGAACATTTTGAAAACTATATTCAGCGGGTATCAAATATCCACATTTACAATGTGACCCGCTCCATTGCCAAACGTTGTCAGTTATGTATCAACGAAAATGGCCGACAATACGAGCACTTGCTGTGACTGTTATGTCATTTTTGTTTTATTGTTTCTCTCATTTTATAGTTGTTATTTTTGTTTAGTTTATGTTTAATAAGTGTACCTATAATTAAAGTAAAGATAAATGGATAATCTAATTTATTTTTTCTTGTAATTTTTTAGTCTAAGTTAGGTGCTTAATATAAAAATAACAATAGAAAACGAGGAGAACAATACTAAATAAATCTTATGGGCAACTGAAAAAATATCTATACATTTTTTACGTTTTTCTTCACTTAGGCAAATAAAAAGTATCTATTATTATATATGGCTGATAGGGTAAAAAAAATGCTATTCAACGGGATGGCCAAATACAGGGTGTTCTATTTAAAAAACTCTATGTTTATGTAATATCACAAAAACTGTGCGATTTGTAAAAAATCTGAGTACGCCACTGGCTTCCTAACAAAAAATAGAACAAATAATGTGCACACTTTTTTCTTCTAAATTGAATGACAACGGAGATAGTGAGGTTAATGTAAATCGGCAATTTTTCAAAAAAAAACCCTAAAACTAATCAAGTTAGCCAAGATCTTTTGGTACCAGCGAAGTAAACTCAAAAAAAGAGGACGGGACGTCGATATCAGATTTTTTGTATCTATCACCGTTTTGGCTGTACCCTATAAAACTATCGAAAATCAACCACCCTGTACATTTTATTAGGTTATAACTATGAACTTATCCGTTGTGGAATATGTTTCCTATTTACATATATGTATGCCAACGAAAACTCTCGTTGTATATCAGAAGAGGCAGAAGGGAGAGAGGCAGTTTTTAACGCTGATCATGTGGTACCTACTCTATGGAAAAATTGGGCAAAGTTAATTTAAATTTAGAAATTTATATTGTGTCTGCAAACTAGTGCCTTACTTACTAACAACCCTCATGAAATTCAGGGAGTATTATTTATCGGCAATAATATTTTGAAAATTTCTTCAATGGTTTGATGAAATCTTAATTCTGAATTTTTCTTGGACCATGAAGAGCAACCTTGAACTGAACAATAATAGTTTGACAGTTTCTTCTTTCTATCCATAATTGCTGAAGTTTTCCTCACACTATTTTCTTAAAATAACAGTGTGCAAAAAACGAACACTAAACAGTTTTAAATAAAATACAAAACAAAATGTCACACACAGAAGAAATGTTTACCTTGTTTCGCTAGTATCACTTGTCACCACCAGAGGGCTCTTAGCTGCATTCGCGAATAGGGGATGAAGACGGTGACCCACCAATAGTGGAAGACATACCTATTAAAGAGAGCAACGAAAGTGACGGCCCAGGGCCATCAAAAACAAGGCGACGAATTTGACTATGTGTCTAATTTGATTGACTGATTGATTGATTAAGTTACTGTACTTTTGATTACTTATGTTTATATTAAAATACATTTCACTGTTTTTTTAATTGATTTCATTCCTTCTTTTTCATTACCAAACCAAAAAACAAGAGATAGGAAAGGTTATGGAACATTTCTGGAAAAATGTGATTTTACCTTATATGGGTGTTTTTGCAATTTTGAGAGAACTACGAGGCTTACAGACCCCGCTCTGCACTTAATTTAAAGGTAATGAAATTGCCTACAAATTATATTCTACAAGTTCTACTCGTAGGATCAATGGTTTCGACGCAATTTCGGTCCAAAGGTCTAAAACTAAAATTTTCAATTTTTGGAAAAACGCCTATTTTCAAAGTGCAGTAATTCGGTAACCAATTGACCTACAGAGCTCCGGTTGAGCTTAATTTGTCACAAATTTGATGCTCTTAAAAAACGTATAGAATAGCTTTCGACGAAAAATGCATGGATTAGGAGATATAGAGCAGAATCTGAAAAAAGTCCAAAAATTTCGCGGCTTTTGGTGTGTAAAAATTTTTCCACAACTTTTTGAGAGTTGCAAACTTGGGTATACATAGCCCTAATGGGTCCGAACAACATACTAAAAAAATCAGAGATACATCATGTTTTGCGAATTTAGCGATTTTTTGTGTCGATTTTGACCGGCCTATTATTATATATTGAAAATATTTTATTTGTTCCAACCACAGTTGCAATGGTGGAGTGGATTGTCCGATCTGTGTAAGCATGAGTTGAAGATGATTCATAAAATAAATGATTAGATAAATATAAACTAAAAAAAAGTTTCATATTCCTTTCGACATCACCAGTTAGTCATTTCTGATAGCTGTTTTACATTGATAATTTATTGGTCAATTAATTCATAAAGTCGCTTCATCAAGAAATTGGACAAGTGTAATGCATCAAATCTGCTGTCAAATAACTTCATGAATTTATTCATGAAGTTCTTGACGAATTAGAGCATGTTCTAATTTTCGTCAATTTCTTCATGAAGTTCGGAAGTACCAACCCAACAGATTTCCACCCTCAGATCAGTAATGAGGTTATGTTATTGGAATATGTAAATAATTGTGTGGTGTCGTACTAGTTTTGCATTGTTTTTACTGATTTGTTACTTACAAAAACTAATATTTATATAATATGTGTCAGAACGGTACCGCTGTTGTATCACTACAATTATGAGTTGAAAGGTGACATTTTTGAAATTGATTTGCTTTGATTCATTGATAGAACTGATTCATACGTCAAAAAACTTGACAAAGTCTGTAGCAGTGTAAAACCACACTGTTTACCAATAAATTCGTGAATTAATTCATGAAGAACTTCATCAATTTATTCATGAATAAATTGTCAATGTAAAACAGCTATAACAAATTGATACTTTCAAGTGGTACAAAACATTTAATACTGGAAGATAATTGTACTTTAAGAATAAATAAGACAATTATTGACACATTTTTGTACTTTTTTGAGTTTTGTTGTAATTTTAATTATAACATTTACATGCACGTAGCGAAAAAAATCAAATTATAACAAAAAAATATTTTTAGCACGAAAAAAAGAAAAGTTGAAAAAGAAGACTGCCGTGTACCAGAAGAAAAGGAGTGCAAAACCCTTTTACAACAAATTAATGTTGACACTTTCCTTAACAACATTTATGGCAATAGTTAGCTACAATTCAGTTATGTGTAAATATTTGTATAAATTTGCACAAAATACTTGTTAGAATATAAGATATTTATTTACATAGTATTTCTACACTACTTTCTGCCAAAGTAAAAAAATATTCTTGTTTTATAGTTAAAACTTTGTACATATTTAATGTTTATAATTTGTACATTATATCTATAAAGTTTTTTAAATGAATATTCTGTTCTTCTTGACATCAACGAAATATATGTATTTTTAAGTATCACTGTAATATGTCTTCTTTAATTCAGTTAGTGTCATTACTAATTTATTTTTCACTTCTTTCACGGACATTGTCAACTATTATGTTCCGTACAAATAAAATTAAGTTTTCTTGCGAGGTACCGTCACTGCTAAGTTATAAATGTGTCATATTTATATTCATAGCTTATGTTTATATAAACTCATATGTATATCAATCTCAAAGTATTTTTCGTTTAGCAATAAAGGTGAAAAGCTGCAACTACATTTATTACTGTATGTCACACATATTTCTATTGAAAAAATTATTGACAAGTAGTTTTGACTGTCTGGATCGATAGAACTGGAATGGTTCTGTTTCTGTAAATTTAATTCTAAATATTTTCTCAGTTTGTATTGGTGGAACACCAAATTCACTTTATTTTAAATTCTGTGAGATATCTTCGATAGTAATGGCCCCTTCTCGTGCCAATTTTATTTGGTGTATCGATGACATTATTCTTGTTGAAGTAGTTCTAGTTTTTTTTTTCTTATTTTTTTTTTAACAATCGGGTAGGAAAATATGCGGAAGTATATTTGGTTTCATTTTTATATTGCCTCCCATTAATTCGTATTTCATATAATTTGTAGTAAATCGCAAATCTAGTAGATATATACATACTGTATAGTAGGTACCTAGTTAAGTTAAACCAAGGATTAGAAAAACAGGCGATGGTATAGTTCGCTGAGAAAGAAGCCGTTCCCACGGACTTGGATGAAAGGCGCGGCATCGTAAAGTAGTTCGGTGTGATTTAAAATAAACAAATCTCCAAAGTTACGGGATCTCGCCGGATATGAAG